GTTCATACAGCGACTTGGTAGCAGTCAAAATTTGAACTGAAATCTCTTGGATTCCCAAACCCATGCTCTTTCCCCTATGTTACTCTTCCTCCCAGATTATCTTCCATTTGTAGATGAGATGGATTGACACAATGGCTGAAATAGTGGGCTCAAGCACAGCAACAATTGTGAGGATGGTGCAGGACCGGGCAGTGTTTCATTCTGTTGTGCATGGGGTTGCTATGAGTTGGAATCAGCTCGACAGCACCTAACAACAACGTAGATGAGAAAAGGGCCGATCACAGAGATGAAGTGTCCACATCACTCTGGTGAAGGAGAGATTGGGAAGGCAGAAAGAAGTTAATGAAACCTTTATAATAGGTGTGCAGGACTGAACTAGGGTTCAAGGCATCTGGGTCCTAATTCCAGCTCTGCCACTTCCCAGCTATGTAACCGTGGGTGAATCACTTCCTCTCTCTAACCTTATTCATTCATTCAATAAACTATTGAGCACCTGCAACGTGCCAGGCAGTGTTCCAGATGTTGGGATACAGCAATAAACAAACAAATCCCTGCTCTCAAGGAGCTTACAATTTAGTTATGGAGACAGACAATAAGCAAAATAAATAAGTAAAATAGATGGTATGTCATATGTGATAAGTGCTATGGAGAAAAATAAACAGGGTAGGGGCGTAGAGAATGTTGGTGGATGGTTGCAATTTATTAGGGTGATCAGGGAAGGTCTCATAGAGAAAGTGGCTATTTTAGTTTATCTAGTGCTGCTGTAACAGAAATACCACAAGTGATTGGCTTTAAAGAACAGAAATGTATTTTCTCAGTTTGTTGTTGTTGTTGTTGTTAGGTGCCGTCAAGTTGGTTCCGACTCATAGCGACCCTATGCACCACAGAACAAAACACTGCCTGGTCCTGCACCATGCTCACAATCATTGTTATGCTTGAGCCCATTGTTGCAGCCACTGTGTCAATCCATCTCGTTGAGGGTCTTCCTCTTTTTCGCTGACCCTCTACTTTACCAAGCATAATGTCTTTCTCCAGGGACTGATCCCTCCTGACAACATGTCTGAAGTAGGTAAGATGTAGTCTTGCCATCCTTGCTTCTAAGGAGCATTCTGGTTGTACTTCTTCCAAGACTGATCTGTTCTTTCTTTTGGCAGTCCGTGGTATATTCAATATTCTTCGCCAACACCACAGTTCAAAGGCATCAATTCTTCTTCGGTCTTCCTTATTCATTGTCCAGCTTTTACGTGCATATGAGACGGTTGAAAATACCATGGCTTGGGTCAGATGCACCTTGGTCTTCAAGGTGACATCTTTGCTTTTCAAAGCTTTAAAAAAGGTCTTTTGCGGCAGATTTGCCCAATGCAATGCCTCTTTTGATTTACTGACTGCCTCTTCCATGGGTATTGATTGTGGATCCAAGTGAAATGAAATCCTTGACAACGTCAGTCTTTTCTCCGTTTATCATGCTGTGCTTATTGGTCCAGTTGTGAGGATTTTTGTTTTCTTTATATTGAGATATAATCCATACTGAAGGCTGTGTGGTCTTTGATCTTCACCAGTAAGTGCTTCAAGTCCTCTTCACTTTCAGCAAGCAAGGTTGTGTCATCTGCATAACGCAGGTTGTTAATGAGTCTTCCTCCAATCCTGATGCCCCATTCTTCATATAGTCCAGCTTCTTGGATTATTTGCTCAGCACACAGATTGAATAGGTATGGTGAAAGGATGCAGCCCTGACGCACACCTTTCCCAACACAGCTTGTGTGTTGCTGTCATGCTGGAAGCTATGTCACCAGTACTCAGATACCAGCAGGGTCACTCATGGTGGACAGGTTTCAGCTGAGCTTCCAGGCTAAGACAAGCTAGGAAGAAGAACCCGGCAGTCTACTTCTGAAAAGAATTAGCCAGTGAAAACTTTATGAATAGCAGCGGAATTTTGTCTCACAGTTTAGGAGGTTAGAGGTCCGAATTCAGGGCGCTGGCTCTAGGGAAAGGCACGCTCTGTCTGCTCTGGGGGAAAATCCTTGTGTCTTTCAGCTTCTCTTCCTCAGTTGGATTCACATGGCATCAGTCTTTCCCCGTTTGTGCTTCCTTGTTTCTGTGCCTGATCTGCTTCTTTTATATCTCAAAAGTGATTGATTTAAGACACTCGACACTGATATGGCCTCATTAACGTAACAGAGAAAACTGTATTCCCAAATGTGATTACATGCACAGTTATGGAGATTAGGATTTATAACACATATTTTTAGGGGACAGAATTCAATTGATGACAGTGGCATTTGAGTAAAGACCCGAAGGTGGTGAAGGGAGGAACTCTGAGGTTATCTGGGGGAAGGATGTTCTAGGCAGAGAAAACAGCAGGTGCAAAAGCTTGAAGAGGAGCATGCATGGTGTGTTAAGGAAGAGCAGGAAACCAGTTCGACTAGGGTAGGGTGAGTAAGGGAGAGAGAAGTAAGAGATGAGATTCAAAAAGTCATCCCGGTCAGGTCTTGTTGGGCCTTGCAGGCATTATTTTAAAGGACTTTGGCTTTTTGCTCTAGGAGCCCTGGTAGCGCAGTGGTTAAGACCTACGGCTGCTAACCAAAAGGTCGGCAGTTTGAATTCACCAGCCGCTCCTTGGAAACCCTATGGGGCAGTTCTACCCTGTCCTGTAGGGTCACTTATGGGTTGGGATTGACTTGGCAGCAATGGGTTTGTTAGGTTTTTTGAACTGATGCGTGGAGTCCATGGGCAGAGCAAACAGTAACGTGCTCAGCTGCTAACTGAAAGGTGGGAGGTTCAAGTCCACCCAGAGGTGCCTCAGAAGAAAGGCCTGGTGATCTACTTCCAAAAACACCAGCTATTGAAAACCCTATGGGGTACAGTTCTGCTCTGACACACATGGGGTTGCCATGAGTCAGAGCTGACTTGATAGCAAGTGGTGGTGGAACTGATACATGTGTCTTTTTACAGTTGATTTGATTGATCTAGGTTCCAAACAAGAGCTATACGGTGCATTTGATTTTTATGTCTCTTAAATCTCTTTTTGTCTGGAAAAGCCTCCTCTCCCTTTTTTTTGATACCATTGACTTAATGAATGAACTGAGTCAGTTGTTCTGCAGAATGTTCCACATCCTGAATTTGACTGATTGCTTCCTTGTTGGATCCTTTAATTTTTTTCTCTGTCTCCTGCATTTCCTACAAACTGAAGGTTAGGTCTAAAGGCTTGATTCGACTCAGGTTTGGATACATTTTAAAGCAGAACCGACAAAATTTGCTAACAGAATGGATGTGGAGTATGGAGAAAGGAGTCATGGAAACCTCAGTTTCCTCATTTGTAGAAAGTTGGTGGTAATATCTGCCTTCCTACCTTGGTTACTGATAATCTCAAAAGGTATTGTTGTGCAGTTGCTACAAGTACATGTGTAAGGGATTTTTGAAAAAACAGCCCCATGCCCAGTTGTCGTGGACTTTGAGCTGGATGTCCTGGGGAGTGGCCATAGGAAGGCTGGTTGATCCCAAAGGCCCCTCCCAGGGCTGATGTCCTCCTGGAGTCTTGTAGCTGGTGGAGGGCTGAGGAGGTAAAGCAGATTTGGGGAAAAGGGGTCTGGGTTGGGGAGGAGAGCTGGGGCTTTGGCTTTTCAGGGGGACAGTTTGCTTGAGGGTTAAACGCAGTAACAGAAGTGTTCTCTTGTACCTCAAGGCACTCAGGGCTCAAAGGGCCTCTAAGGGAGCTAAGGAAGGATGATTACACTGGACCTGTTTCAAAGTTCATAACAGGAGGCTTGGGCCACATCTTGGGATTTGAGGAGAGTACGTGTGGTGGGTAAATGAGCATGAGGGAGTAGGTGAATCTGGGCAGTACGAGGGAGAGAGGGAGTACGTGTGGGCACCTGAGTGGGTGAGCTGACATGTGAGTGAAGAACATAATTGCAAGTGGATGTTTTAACGTGATAGTACCTATGGAGTACACGCGAGCGTGCAAGGGTTACACGTGTACGTGGTTTGAGCGTGTCTGTCTGTATGTGGTGGAGGGGGTTTGGGGGAGAGAGGCAGGTTTCTGACTGTAGTTCTTTAGGGTTGAGGCCCATGTTAAAGGTGGTTTGTCCTTCAAAAGCCATTTTTGGCTTTAATAACGAGCAGCCATGGGGTCCCAGTCAGCAAGAGGAGGCTAGCCCAAACACTCAGGGGGAGCTGAGGCTAGACCCTGGCTCTGCTTTGCATCTGACTTTCTGTGGCACCTTGTCTGAACCTCAGTTTCCCTCTCTGTGTTGGAGAGGGTTAAAATGGCTAATATCCAAGGGTCTTGCTTTCTCAGCTAGTTCCTGGTGCCTGGAGATGCTGGGGGTACTCAATAAATTTTGGCTGAATGAATGAGTGGACAGATGGACTGGAGGCTGAGGCAGGGAGCTCTGGCCCGTCCCTCACATACACAAGAAGCCCCCACCCAACTTACACACACACACACACACACACACACACTCACACACACACACACTCATCTGTGTTCACCCTCAGTTGCCCACACCTGTTCGCTCTCACTCCCACTAATTCACAAGCTGCCAAACTCTGGCTCAGGGTCTTATGAAGCTTCCCTCCTCCACTCCTCCACTCCTGTAGCACACTAGAGTCTGCTTCCTGGTCACCAGGGATGCCCAGCTCAGTCATGCCATTTGCTGTCCACAGCAGCAATTTTGCGCCACTCCCTTCTTATCCTTTTTATCTTCTAGCTCCCTCTCTTTCCGCCTTCTCCCCCTTTCTTTCATTTTCTCTCTCATCCCCATACATACACACACAGGCACAGACTCACGGTCTGTGTCCCATCTTATTCTCTTTCAACTTCCTTGGCCTATGTCCTTGTATCCTCTTTATTCCTTTCATGCTCTCTCTCCGTGTTTACATCTGTCTTTCCCTGTGTGCCTTTCTCCCTCCATCTCTTCCCCCACCCTCTCTCGTTTCCTGGACTCCTCTTCCTCCTCCCCTCTCATTCCGTTTTCTTGGTCACTCACTTCTCCTCGCTCCTCTTCCTCACTCTCATGCTCTGTTCCTCTCTTGAGCGCATATCTCACACTTCCTTGCTTTCTCTCTCTCATTCAGCTCCCTGGCACTGTGGTCGTTGCCCACATCGCGCTGCCCCCTGCTCCGTTAGAAGCCTCAGAGTAGTGCCCAGGGCCTGGGTGGCCCAGCTTGGATGTTCCTGTGGCATCTGTTGGAGGGCCCTAGGGTCACGGCATTTCCTCTCGGAGGTGACTTGGCAGTGGTGTGCTCTGTTTTCTCACTTCTGCAATTTCCAGCTGGCACAGAGGCTGAGACTGGGGTCTGGACCCAGACTGAGAAACTCAAACCCTGCAGTCAGCTGTGGCCACCGCCCCGGGTATAGGTAAGAGGGCCTGAGCCCTGGCTGAGCTAAGTGGGGAGGCTGCACCTAATCAAATGGGCGCTTCTGTTTTTAAGGGACTATTCCGGTACCTTCTTCAGGTCCAGATCCTCATATTTAAAAAGAATTTCTTCTGGCAAAACTTTCTGGGGACCTAGCTCTCCTCTCTGGTTGTCTGAGGCTAAGGCAGTGCTGAGGTGACCTCACTGGGAGGTGCTGTGGTGATGAGTGGGAGCTACCTCGATCTCAGGGAGCTGAATGCTGTCTACTTTATTAAATGTGTGACCCTGGTCAAGTTACACCCCTCTCTGAGCCTCAGTTTCTTCAATTGTCTAATGAGGATGACGTCATCTCCCTAGCAGGATTGTCAGGAGGGTAGAGGGTCTAGCAGAGGCCTGGGTACTTGGGAACTTAACTAAATGCTAGGTTTTTCCAGGGGATGATGAGGATCATGAGGATATTGGTACAAAGGACCAAGCCTACAACTGTTTACCCCATTAGGTCCTAGGTGATGGGGACAGGGCCCAGGCAGTTACCTCCCTGTCCCTCGCTGACCTTGGTGAGCAGGGTTTGCTGCCCAAGCACTCGCTCACCTGTGTAGAATGAGGGCATAAGTGGGGGAGGGAGTGCTCTCCCTAAGCATTTGGGCTGCTGTGATGGAGCTCTGGCTAAATACACAGCTGTGCTCCAGGTGTTCGATGTGAGTGTGTGTGGTTGTCTGTGTGTGGGTATGTGGCGGTGGGGTGGGTGGTGCTAGAGAAGCAAAAGGAAGAGCCTCATCCTTCCCTTTAGGTACTAACAGCTCAGCCTGGGAAAGAAGTCAGCTCTGGGGCTGTAGAAATGGTCCTGGGCCTGAGGTGGGCACCCAGGGTTTTGATTTCAGTGCTAGCTGACAAGCTGAGACTTTGGGCAATCCAGGACCCTAAATTTCCACCTTTGCAGATTGGGTTTATAATACTGACCTTGTGGGTTTGTGGGGAGGATGAAGTAAGAGGCTGAGTGCGAAAGTGCTTTGTCAATTGTAAAATGCCGCATAATATGAGCCAAGGCATTACTAGGAATCCTGACACTGTCATGGTTATTGTAAATGCTTTTAGGATGAGGAATTTGCTTTGTTCGGTGTTTTATCCTTACCTTTAACATGGAGTTTGACATGTAGGAGATGCTTAGTAAATATGCATTGAATTAATGAATGATAAAGTCGTATGTTGTAGTCAGAAGGGAATGGACGGTGAGCCAGGGGTCCAGCTTCTGGTCGCAGCTCTGCCCCTGATACTTTTGTCACCTTGGGCCTCAGTTTCCCCATCTGTCCAACTCAAGGTTTAGATATGAAATTCACAGTCTATGGCATTAATGACAAAATGCACATCTAGGATTGAGCTTTCTCTCCTGATCAGTGTTAGGGTGAAAGTGGGGGCTGGGGGGTGATGAAAGACTGGGATGCAGCCTGTCTGTCCTTTTTCTGGGGAGGAGATACTTGACAGGCCTGTGGGGGATAAGGGGGTGTGCCTCTTTGCCAGTGGCAGCCTCGCTTTTCCCATTCTGGTCCTTGATCTCACCTAGAGCCCCCCACTGGGTGGCGGCCTAGGCCCAGGAAGGGATGACAGCCAAGCTATAGCCTGGGAGCCCTCCCTGACTGGGTCTGTGAGAGGATGTTGGGCTGAGGGTGGAGCCAGTTCCTGGAAGAGAAAATGCTGAACCCCCTGCCCTGCAACCTCTCTGACCAGCCACTGTGGGGTTCCTTGGCAGCATGGTGGGAGGGAGGGGAGCCTTTGGTTTATCTTTGTGTGTGCATGTATCTTGTGTGTGTGTGGGGTGGGAAATGGCCCTTGGCTATACCCACAAGTGCCTGGAGGGTGGGCCAGGAGTATGTGCCACCTGCAGGTGGGCCTTGTTACAGCCCAACAGTTCCCAGCAACAATGTCACCAACAAAACCGGCTGAGAGGCTGATACGCTGGTGGCTTGACTGTTCCTTTGTTCCCTTGTGCCTTCAGCCAAGGGGAATCAAAGTGAAGCCTGTGCATGCATGGGTGTGCTCCCTCTCCAGGGTGTGTGCGTCTCTGTGTGTGTGTGTGTGTGTGTGTGTGCGCGCGCGCGCGCGCGCGCGCGAATGTCTGTGTGTGTGTAGGGGGTGGAGAGGACCTACCACTCAGCAGCCCTTTCCCACCCTCTTCAGCAGGAAGGGGCTTCTCAGGATCCAGGTTTAGAGTTGAGCCCACCTAGCTGGTGGGAGAAGCATGTCAAAACTTTGTGCAGATGTTGTATGATCCCAGTTATATAAAATATCTAGAATAGGCAAATGCACAGAGACCCAAGTGTATTAGCAGTCAGGGGCTGGGGGGAGGAGGGAATGGGACTTATTGCTGAACGGTACGGAGTTGTCGTTTGAAGTGATGTAAACCTTTTGGAAATGGATAGTAGTGATGGTAGCACAACATGGTGAATATAATTAACATCATTGAATAGTACACCTAAAAATGGTTAAAATGGCAAACTTTCTGTTATACATATTTCGCCACAATTTAAAAAAAAACAAAAACTTTGTGCAAGACCCTTTACAGTTGATAAAGCACTTTTGAACTTACCAAGGGCTTTTCTGTTTACCAAAACTTTTGTCAGCCCCTAACAATCTCACTTCCTTTTCCGCAATAATGCTTCGAGGTGGGTGGGGCATCCTATTTTGCAGGTACAAATCCCAAGGCTCTTATCTGCGGAAGAGACTTACTCAGGACAGTGGGTGGGTGGCACGGCTTAGGCCAGGGTCTGGATTCCCTGATTCTAATTCCTGTGCTTTCTCTCCAGCTACCCCTGGGTGCTCTTTCCAAAAGGGGAGACGTGACTGGCTTGCTGTATGGCTGATTTGTTTACTTATTCATTCATTCAAGAAAAACATTTCTAGGCACGGGGCGGGGGGGAGGGGGGAAGGGAACTCACAGTTATTAAGCAATAACCACTTGCATAAATTGCTTCAGTCTGCTCTCGTAACTATCCTGTGAGAGAGGTTTTATTATCACCATGGTGTAGATGAAGAAAAACAGGTTGGGACAGTCAAAGATCACACAACTAAGAAAGAGGAGAGCCAGGTGCAGACCCAGGTCTGTGACTCTAGGGCCAGTGTCTATGATTTTCACCTGGGCCAGGAGCTTCCAGGCTGGAAAAAAGACTTAAAAGTCAGTGTGATTCCTGGTATAACACAGGCGTGTGCCCAGTGTTTGGGAAGCCCACAGGAGGAAGCACCTCGCCACTCCCTCTTCCTTGCCCTGGCTGACTTCCAGGAAGCAAGGTAGGGGGAGGGTGACTCAGATAGATACCTCAGGGAGCCAAGATGAGAGATCCAGACCAGGTTCTGTGTCCCCCAACCCCAAAGGGACTTCCTAGGCCATTTGAGCAGGGGCTGAGTCTTCTTCATGTAGTATACATAGCTGGGGTCAGGTTGGGGCCCCCGGTGAGAAGGAAAATTGGGTAATCCTGATGGTGCCAGGCCACCTCCATTTCTGGGGTCCTAGACCCTGTCCCTTACCTTTCCCCAGCAAAGAGTGCTATTTATTCTATCAATAAATGTGCCGGGCATGGGTGCTAGACTTCTTGTACTAGAAACCGTGGGGAGCCCAGTTCAAAACTCCCCAGAGTCAGCATATTTGGTCTCAGTTCACCTCTCAAATCCCTCTGCTTCTTGGAGAAGTGGTAATGGTACCACTCCATGAAGGGAGTCTGTAGAGGGTATGGCAGCAAGTCTAGGGCAGGGCACAGATGTCAAGCCACAGGTGAGGTCAGAACAAGAGGTAACTCATTTATTAAGCACCTACTATATGCCAAGCCGAGCCCTGGTGGCGCAGTGATTAAGAGCTACGGCTGCTAACCAGAAGGTCAGCAGTTTGAATCCACCAGCCACTCGTTAGAAACCCTATGGGGCAGTTCTACCCTGTCTTATACAGTTGCTGTGAGTCGGAATTGACTTGACAGCAATGGGTTTTTGGGTATATGCCAAGCACTTTAGAGGTTTATCTGCCTTCAACCTCAAGGCAATCCTGTGAGGTCAATGTTGATATTGTTCCCATTTTATAGATGAGAAAACTGAGACTCACAGATGGGAAATGATTAAACTATGGGGTTTTAGTGGCCCCAGGAAAGCTAAGGGCTGGAAGTGGCTAAGGCTGGTGTACAGGGTGTAGAAGTAAAGGGTAAGGGACAGTGTAGCTCTGTTTGTGGGGGGTGGCAGGGGAGGACGGTTGGTTTATCTATTCAGTAATCATTTCTTGAATATTTAATGTGTAGGAAGCCCTGTGATGGGAGCTGGTGATATATCAGAAGCCTTGTCCCCAGGGAATTCCCAGCCCAGAAGGAGAGAGAAATCAACGGCCATTATAATGCAGTATGACATTTTATGGAACCACATGTGGCACAGTAACTCTATCTAGGGTAGAGGAATAAGACTAACAATAGCCAACATTCACTGAGCTCTTACTATAGGCCAGGCTGTGCAGGGCAGAGGCGGGACAGCTAGATGGCAGAATTCTTCTTGTCTCCATGAATATTTACCGGTTCCCTGGCTGAGTGCAGGGCCTGGGCCCAGTGCCCAGCCTTGATCCACCAAGGAACTGTGCCTGCATGTTAAACTGAGTGGTATGAGCCTCCTCCTTCTCCCTCCAAGTGCTCATTTCCTCCCTGAGCTACTGAAAGCTTTGTTGGCATTCAGCTGGGGCAGAAAAACAGGACTGTGGGTCAGAGCCCCGGGGGTCATGACCTATAGTCCTCTCCCCTGGCTCCAGGCAGCTGGGCCTGTTGGAAGAGGGAGGCCTGGCCATTTTTGGCTCAGGTCCTGGTCTAGCCCCTTTGCACGCTTACCCTTAGAACCCTTGTGAAGGGGGTACGATTTTGCAGAGGCAGAAACTGAGGCTCAGAGAGGTGAAGTCACTTGTTTGAAGTCAGAGCAAGTGAATGGCAGAGCCAGGCATGATCCTAGGCCTTTCTGACTCCAGAGGCCTTGTTCTCCTCACTTCAA